CATTCTCTATAAACTGACCACCTCTGTGTCTCTAGGTTCATCTTTATCTTCCTTAAATTGGATTTATTCTTATGAGATTAGCAGGAAACCATGTTATTTCTATAAATGAGGAAAATATGCCACACCAATTCTTTTGTAATTCCAGTGTAGCTATCCATGAAATATCAGTAAAAAGTAAAAAAGAAATAACCCAATCCTTTAAACATATAAATCATCATTCCCTTCTTATTTTACTTAAAAAACACTAATACCTTCCTATTTATGTTACATGACATGCTGATATGTATTCTGACCCAGTTGTCAATTTGCAATTGTGAATGCGTAACAAAAATTTACATCATCAGCATTGCCAAAATGTGTTATTCTAACAAGCCAGTCCTATAATCGGTGAAATTAATGTCATATACATATTGACTCCTGAAAAAGTCATATGAACTACCTCAAGTACAGATGAAACTTTTATAGAGAAGCAAGTGAAATAATGAGGATTTTGTATTTTCACTTAAATATGACATCTTCTAGTAACGTTTACTCATTTATGTGAAGGGAATACAAATGTCTAATCCTTTTGTGCAGTGTGGGCATTCAAAGAGACACATGATAAAGCCTTTAATGCCCTGTCCACAGCATTCTTCCTCTTGCAAGGTTACATACGAGATACACAGTAAATCTCGTTGCTATAATTTTATTTTAATTTCTAGAAAATAATTTGAGTGGAAAATGTACCAGTCACATCCAGTACAAATCTTTTTCTATTCTATTAGTAAAAATTTGCCAGTGGTAATTATTGTTGGAGCCAGAGCATCATTTAACTAATGGTGTGATGGCAGAAATATCAAACATTTGCTGAAACTAAGTTCCATCCTTTTGAACTTCGAGTAAAATTGATAACACATGTTAGTGCCTAGCTCTGAGCAGCATGTGCCCCAGCTTTCTGCTACTTTGAAGATCACAGACTCTATCACCTTCTCCTGTTCAAGGCCATCAGGCTCGGCAAGAACCATGCCATTAACATTGTTTATGGCTCAACTCAAATAAATGAAAAAGTAATGACTATATAATGAGCTTTCCCCCCCAAAAAATGACCTGAAAACATCGAGTTACATAGGTTGAGTGGTTGCAAGCACAATTAATAGCAATAATAAAAAGAACGGCTTTTATACAAAAGAAAAGAATCATTTTCCAGAATTTTCTTTTGTTCACTCAGTGGCTAGTGCTTACTCAGAAGTGGGAGATCTAGTCCTGTATAGTCTCAAATGATTTTTAAGAAGTCTGATCATAACACAGTCGTGCTAATTCTTCCTTTTACCCGAGGAAGCACCTGGAAGAGTTCTCGCACTGAGTAAGGTTGACTTGGAATGTGATTCCCCATCCACTGGCTCCTAATTAAAAGATGATTTTTTTTCCTTTGGGCATGTCATTTTGTTCATGAAAATTAAGCTCTACTTCATTCTGCTTGTGCATGCACAGGTGTCTGTGCACTTTGTAGAGAGAATTGCTTTAGAAGTCATAGAGTTTTCTAAAAGAAGATGGTCAGGAGAACAACTAACTTTTAGAGGCAGATTAGCTCCTTTCTAGTAAATGAAACTATTAAGTTGATACTAAAAAGGTTGTATTTCCCTCTCTCATTGCAGCCTGCCAAACTTATCGCTTTTCGAGGGGCCACTGAGGATCTCACAATCAAATTTAAGCCGAATACTCTATTATGTTTACAGGGCATGCTGTGGCTCTGTTTATGGTGTGGGCTTGGCAGCTGCTCATGTTATTTGAGTAGGGAGATATAGCAAATTTAGAACTTTCACTCCAAGGAGGTAGTTGTAATCAACAAAAGAACATTCCAGAAACAGACTTCACCATATCCTACTGGCATTTTAAAAATACATTTTGATCTGAAATGTTTACTTTTTTCCCTACATTTTTGTCTTGGGGATTGTTTTAAATATTTTATTGTTGTTTCTTTAGGGTTATTGTAATTCAAAGTACTTGTCTATTTTTAGATGGAAAGACAACTTCCCAGAATATTCACTGTTTTGTTTGGGGTGTAATGCAGTAATCGTGTTTTTATGCCTTGGCAGGACAGGTTACTTTGACTAATTTATCACAGTGGAATCAAGGGAAACAACACCAGTGTGTGGAAAAATGAGACCCATCACTGAGTGTCACTTTAGGCCTACCCTTCTGTTTGATGATGACCTTTATCCACTCTCTTTTAAATGTATATGCTGGAAAAATTAGTGATGATTCTATCCAGACTAAAATGTAATCATTTTCTCCATTACTCTCTCACTGAAGCAATCAGTTATGCAACTGAACTTCTGTGAAAAATACACTCAGTTCAATGACACAGGAAGCCTATTAACAGCAAATATTGCCTCTCCCCTCTCCTGCTGGTTTACTTCCTTGTCTTTACCTTCCAACTCCTCCTTTTTTTCTTCATTTTATTTATTTGTTTATTGTTTTGTGATTTTTACATTACTTCTTATTTTTTTGATATTATATCATAATTACATACATCAGCTCCCCTTTCCCTTTCCTCCCTTTATTCCTTTCCATATTCCCCTCCTTGCTCTTTCAAATTTGTGACCTTTTTTTCACTAATTGTTTTTACATGCATTATGTATATACATGTATGTCACTTTCTTCAATCAATTCATTTTTCATTTCTGACATACTGGAAGAGTATTTTGATGCAAAGCTAATATAGTCATATTCTTGTCATCTCTGAGATATTTTATCTTGTTTGAGGTGCTATACTATTTTTTTCAATTAATATTTAGTTTTTGAGGATGGTAAATGGAACTGAAATACGCAAAGCGTGTCTCAGCCATTGGATGATATCTGGTGTTCTCTGTCCCATTCCCTTGACATAGGGTTTCTCAGTGAACCTGGGGGAACCACTTTATGCCCAATAAATAGAGTAATCCTCCTTCCTCCTTCCTTTTCAGAACTATAGTCTGAGGAACATGTGGCCATGCTTTGTGCATGAATTCTGAGTGTTCAAAGTGAGCTTCTCATGCTTGCACAGCACGTGCTCTTAATGACTGAATCATCTACCTAGCCCCCTTTTTCAGGTCTTAACGGTAGCAAATTAATGCAAAGATTTTAGAAACTTGAAATGGTGCTTTGTTATGGAAGAGATAGGATAGTGTATTTAATATAAGATTATAACATGAAACCCTGGCTGGTGAGCTGGCTTAGCAGGTAAAGGCATGTGCCTCCAATTTGGATGACTTGAGAGAGGTCTGTTGGACCAACATAGAAGAAGATGAGAATTAGCTTCTTGGGTTGTTTCTGATCTCCTCACACAGGTATCCTAACACACACACACACACACACACACACACACACACACACACAATTCATGTTAAAAGAGGAAAATTAAAACATGAAAACCTCTCTTTTCATATTTGGGGTTAGAGTTAAAATGGAAAATTGCATTTCTCAACATCTGTGGTGACTCCTAGAAAAGAACCATATGTTGTATGGTTGTTCATGAAAATGTAACAGAGAAATGATCAATTCTAATGCACCAGGTGGTAGTGACAATGTAAGTGTTCCATAGTACAAAGTCAAACCCAGCAGGCCCTTCATGAAGTAAAATGAGTAACCGTAACAGTGAAAGCTGAGAATAAGAAGACTAGCTGCATAAATAAAAATGGATTGACTTTCCCAGTTTGGCTCCAGATCTACAGAGTGACCACTTGATCAAGATGCCAGGATTGACATCAAATGTCTAAATGACACTGAAAATCCAATGAAATATGAACTTATACATTTAAAACACTTTGTTCTTTCCCTGAAGGAACAATAGAATCACTCATCTTCATAATCCTACTTTTACTATTATTGTTTTAATTAATTGTTATAATAAAAATATTTTCTTCAGAGAATATTTCAGTGAATATTTCAGCGAATACCAGTACTACTGGTAATATTGACTGATAGTTAAGGGAAGCAAGAAATAAATATTTGTAAGATTTAATATGGTTATGTTGTGTGTATTTAGGTTACTACACATTGTTAAGTTCTTAATTCTATTTATTTCATATGGAAAATCAAAGAATTCTTTAATTATAATATGCTTTTGTACAGAACAAAATAACTTTTTAGCTATACTAAATTGGTAGAAGGTATCAGGGCCACTTGGAAAGGACTGCATGTAATGTTACAGAAAAATAACATTGTGCAAAATATAACAAGTAATGTCTGTTGGTAACCATAGAGTATGGAAATGTGGTGCCAGAGAATTATCCCCTGAAGGATGCCAAATTTTCTGCCATATGTTGTCATTCACTGTATGGAGTCTGTTGCCAATTTCACTTATTCTTCACCCCGTGCTTCAAAATCTTGAGAAAAAAATATTCACAGCCATTCTCAAGAGGTTTTCATTGGGACTGGAGCCAATAATCACAGATCTGCCTCACAGGATCCCTTTAGCCTGGCTGAAATAAATCCAGACCTCTGTGATGGCTCTGAGCCAGAGGTTCCCCAGCAGAGTCAGGAATGCACCTGGAAGCCTAGGTCAGAACTACCTGAAATCCACTGAGAAACAAAGAGAAGACTTGGGTCTCCTCTAATTCCCTATCTTACATCTTTGAAGCATCCCGAAGATTCCTACAATTTTCCTACAGGCAGGGGGAGAACAAGGGGGCAAAGATCTGAGAGCTTAAACCAAGCTGGTGAGTAATACAAGAAAAGGCAGCTAGTTGGGAGTTCCTTCAAAAGCCAGCCATTGTTTATCCTGCTTCTCTGGGAACAAGATTGTTCTCTGGGATTCTCTTCAAGATAATCTTTCATTCAAGTGACTAGTGTCAAAAGTTTCTGTGATATATAACAGCCTCGCCATTCAGTCTATTGCCAGAAATATGTGTGTTCATCCTCAACAGAATTCCAGTTAGAACCAAGCTGCTGGTGATATGAAAATCCTTCCATTGATTGACTTTGAGTTTATACAATATCTACACAGCATAAACAGAAGCAGACATTGTGATTTAACTTACTTTTAGTGACAACCCCTTCCAGTCGGATGATGTTGGGGTGGTCAAACTGCCCCATGATGCTTGCTTCTCCCAGGAAGTCTCTCCTCTGCTTCTCTGTGTAACCTACTTTCAGGGTCTTGATGGCCACTGAGATCTCTTTTTTTGAAGGAAGTTTTAAGCGACCACTGCAAACTTCTCCAAATTCACCTGTTAGAATATGAAAGAATATGAATGTCAATGAGGAGGCCTCTGCATTCTAGGGGGCCCCTGGTGGTGGATTAGTATTTTTGCCTGGTGAAAGAAGGGATTTTGAGAGCCCATCCCACGTGAAGGGATGCTCTCTCAGCCTGGACACATGGGGGAGGGCGTAGGCCTGGCCCAGGATGATGTGATGGACTTTAGGGAGCCCCCATGGAGGGCCCTACCCTCCCTGGGGAGCAGAGGGGGGAATGGGGTGGAGGGTTGGTGGGGGGGTCTGGGGAGTGGAGGAAGAGGGAGAAGGGACTGACATGTGAAACAAGCTTGTTCCTAATTTGAACTAATAAAAAGAAATAAAGAAACAAAGAAAGAAACAAAGAAAGAATATGAAAGAACAATAAAATATAATGCAAAACTTAAAGATTCATAGGGCTAAGTGGATGACTTCGTGGATAAAGTGATATTTTTCAAGCATGAGGTCTTGGGTTAGGGACCCTAACACCCAGGGTAAAGACAGGTATAGTGATGCACATATGCAGCCTCAGTGCTGGGTGCAGGCAGAGACAGGAGGAAGACGTGGACTTGTTGGTCACCCGGTATATCTACTGTATGAGCTCCAGATTAATTGAGAGATTGTATCTCAACCAGAAAACAAACTCAAATAGAGATCAATAGAGGAAAACATCCAAAGGCAACCTCTGCCTTCAATGTGTACAAGCATATGTGATTGTACCTATACACACACATGCATGCATCACACATGTACATAAACATATACACACAGATACACACACACACACACACAGAGAGAGAGCGAGA